ATAACATTTTATAAAGATAATAATTAATTATTTTGTTAGAACTCAATGATTATCCTAATTATATTTTAGATTTTTTATATTTAAAATGAGATGTTTATCTTGTATTGGATTGTGTTTATCTGCAGTTAGTTACACGAATTCAGTTATGAGATGAAATCAGATAGGGATGAAATCGTTTAGGGATGAACGAGTTTAAGAGTTTTAAGAGTTTTTAAGAGTTTTAGCCAAATGCTTTATAATATAGTATAGATAATAAGTTGAAATTCTTGCATATCAAGTTAAGAAATCCAAAATGCATTATTATTACATTGTATTTTCTGAAAAATATGCTTAACCTTCATTTTTCTATCAAAAATATATTTGATGTCCGTAACAATATAAACGAATCTCATTCATATTATTTTTTAAAAGAGCTTTTTAAAAAGTGAAAGAGGTTCTCTCGTATATACAGAATAAAATCCAAGTATTACGTGGAATCTAACGACACGCCCCTTCAAATAGAGGCTTCATAAGTATATATAAATTGTCTCGATTTGTCTAGATAAACACAAATTCTCACATAGTATCGTGTCTCTAAAGTGGTAAACTTTAACTCTGATACCATGTGAAAATATGTGGAATCATTGGATTACTATACAAACGGGTTCTTGAAGAAAGAAGAGATTCCGACATACATAAAGAAGAACTTATCCAAGTCTAATCGATGAAGAACTCTAACACTTACATTTCCCTCTCATTTGGTTATCCTCAGATTCATTTATTTTGCTTTCCATTTTTCTTATCTTTTCTTTTTTGATCTTCTCTTATCTTTCAAAACAAAGTAGACTCGACATTTTTCTTCAAGATTATTAAATACAAGTAGCTAGATAAATGAAGATAGGTGACCATCATCAATCACCTTAATCTGAGTTCATATACCTTCAATCATCTTCACATACATGAACTTGTTTAATTCTAGATCAATCATAGTAACACAAAAAGCTAGATAAATGAAGATAGATGAAAGCGGAGAAAGTGACTATTTACATAAGTGTGATCATATCGGTTAAATCAAACCGCTATCAATTTCTAAATTTTGTTCTCACCATATATATATATATATATATATATATATATATATATATATATATAKRCCAATAGATTAGTGAATCTAAGCATTACAGGAAAACGCATAATGTTATATATTAAAAATTAAATGGTTTTGTTACAATTTTAAAATCTAAATTTTTTTATGAAATAAAAAATAAATTCTTTCTTCAACGAGTAAGATCTGGTGATGACGTTGTGAAAACGAAACAAGCAAGAATAGTTAATTTAAAATACAATTGTATTATTAATATTTGACCAATTAAATTTATTGGATTTAAATATGATGCAGACCTAGACGTAGAGGACTAGATTTTAATGCTCCCAAAGGCCTATTATCAAGCCAACATAAGGTGTCGTGCATAAACACATATATATCTTGGCCCATCTATCTTTTCTAGACTGTTTGTGTTTGGAACTCTTATTTACATGCTTAAAGTGTAATCTGGATGATCAGATGATTAATACAGAAGTTCTTATTGTTCGGTTTCCATCCAAATTTTGACTTCACTGGGAATTCGAGTTTGAACGTAAAGTTTGGTCTTCGTTGAATCAACGATTTTTAAGAGATTATTTCTAGATATTCATAAAATGGTTTAATCAATGTTTCGATTTTCATTAACTGCATCAAAGTTCATCTTCTTTAATTCAAACTGGAAACTATTTTTCTTATTGTAATAAAATGTTACATTTGTTTGGTAATGAAAACATAGATATATGATTAAATACTCAATTGTAAGCCTAATATAATAATAGTAATAAAGAAACATAAATAAAATTTAAATGCAAATAATCAATTTATAAATAGAAATAAGTAAGGATAGATGGCAAAAAATTACATATGTGTTGCATACTTCATGGTGATCATGCAAAAAATTGAATCATTTTAAGGGTTACATGGTTTAACAATTAGATAGTGTTGTAATTAACAATTTCAGGTTTTAAATTTGTCTCTTTACTAGGTAATTAGGTCTAGATATGTATAATCATGCTCGATGATCAGACTGATTATGAAATGACTAAAGCTGTTCCAATATTTGTCAAAAAGACAGATCATATATTCCTTACTTTTCTAACAAGTGGACTAATAATTACAAAAGCCCCATCAAGGGCCAAAATCAAGTAATGATCGGAATAGGTTAAGGTTGCGTCACACCATCTACTTCTTCATGTAAATCAACTTTTTCTTATGTACTTATCACCAATTCCACTTCTTTGCGTAGATCCGCAATGCGAAGGATAAAACAATCATTTTTGTTCAATTATTGTCACCAAGCAAATGAATACGAGTCATCATAGATAGAAAACGTAAACTTAAATTAATAAATTTAAAAGATACTAAAATATGATTTGTCTCAATTTTATTAATGAGACGTGTGATTTTGGGACGATGAAATTTTATCTCAATACAAGTCTCTTTTTCTTTTGTATTCTTCACTAATTCAACTCCCTTCCTCTTCGTCATGTTCTTTGCAACATCAACAATCGTTGTGTCTTCTGTTTCGAACAAACCCTCTTCCCATACAAAACAAGTGGTTTGGGATGTCTAATAAAACTAAAAGTCAAAACTTAAATATACACAAACTCAAACATTTCTCATGTTTATGAGTAAATGGTATAATTCTAGTAAAATTCTTTGGGTTTTTCTATCAAATGGTGTAATGAGGAAAACACTAGATAGAGGTGAAATTAACAACGTATAAGGGTACAATTGGTTTTCCTTTAAATAAAAGGGTAGGCTAAATGCACCTCATGATTACTAAATATATTTGTCTCAGATTAGCTACAGATTTTATCAAACTTGTTTTGATTTTTGATATCGTATATAATTAGATTCATGGTAAAGCCATGACAAATTTAAGTATATTTGTCTCAGATTAGTTACAGATTTTATCGGATAGGTTCGTAGCAAACTCTTGACAAATGTAGCTATTTTAATTATTTAGCGATAGATTTGCGAAAGATCTTTAAGTTCATATGTTTATCTAATTAAAGAATAGGTCGCTAATCTGTAGCAAACATGTATATTTGTCACTGATTATAAAAGGGCTTCCCAATAGAAAGAATTGAATTAACTAAGTCAGTAAGAATGATTGGGTCCCGTAGAAGACACCTCGGAAGCAAAAGATTATAGCGTCCAGACTGAAAATAGCGACAAATTTTGCATCTATCATACGAAATGTGAATAAGTTTATCAAAAAAGGAATTTTACGTATTTTAATTGATTATTTGTTTATTACGATAATAGACACCTATATTTAGGAATTGGCTACTAATTATGAATATCGATGACAATTTGTGGTTTCCATTATCATTTGCTTGTTGCTTTCCAACTTTGAGATTGTAGTATTTTTTAACACGCTACGAAATTAGCTAAAAAAAGTCGCAAATGAAATAACAAGAATTATGTTATTTTTGATAACACTACTAGAAAATAAGGTATCAGCAACGAAAATCAATGATCAAAAAAAATCTCTCGCTACTCAGCAAGGGATATGGCCAAAAACGTATTCCCTCGCAGATCTCTTGCAGATCAGCTAGGATTTGAGAGGGAAAAGATGTCTTGCCTTTCCCTTGCAGATCTGGGAGGGAATACGTTTTTTGCCATTTCTCTCGCTGATCTGCGAGGGATAATCATATTTTTCTTATTTCTCACTTTTTACATGTTATATGTACACATATTTATGTGTAGGTGTCGTGTGTATACATGTATATCTGTTATTTGTATATATATGTTTTGGTTGCTAACCGTGATGTGTATTAGATGTACACATGTGCATGTGTTATATGTATATATACACGTCGGCCTGTGTTATATACATATGTTTACACGATGTTGTATGTGTTATATGTATATATACCCGTCAGTCCGTGTTATATGTACATGTATACACGACGTGTATAGATGTGTGTTGGTTGCTAACCATGATTCGACCGATGTATATATTGTTTAAGATACATGTATCAGTTGATGTATATATGTTTAACTGTATGTGTATATGTGAATGTATAAATAGTATTAGCTACGAGCTTTTGACCGACGGACTATCAGCGAGGGATCAGCGACGGAACATCTCATTTGCGAGGGATCAACAACGGAACATCCCTTTTGCGACGGAACAGCGAATGAATTTTCCCTCACTGATACTCTTCATTTTTGTAGTGTAAACTGGTTGATAAGTTAAGTAATGACTGATAAGTCGACTAATGAACAAACCATGTTTGACAAAAACCAGCTGATAAAGCAAACTTAATTTGAAAAAAAAAACATTGATTTTATAAAACAAACATAATTAAAATTAAGGTTAGTTTTCATATTTTACAATCCTGCAAATGCGTTTTTGGTTGAAACTTTTGGTACTTTTGTCTTTTAAGTGAATTCTATAATCATTTTACGAAAACTGCTTTCTTGTTTAATTAAAATAATATAATCTCTTTAATTTATAAATTGGTAATTAAATAATTTTTTAAAGAGGAAATATAGAGATGCAACTCTATATAAATGTAGTCACTTCAAGAGGTAGAAGGCAGAAGGCAGAAAGAAATCCAAGCGAATTTGTTAAGCTAGTAACATCATGGCAATTGCATCCTTACATGTCTTTCTCCTTCCTTCATGTTCATTAATCATGATCATTTTGATGATTTTTATCGGTTTCAAATGGATTTCGTTTCGTTCTAAACCCCGAAAAACCCAACCACCATCTCCACCAAAGCTTCCAATCATCGGAAACTTGCACCAACTAGGCTCAAACCCTCATCGCTCTCTCCATGCCTTGTCCCAAAAACACGGTCCAATCATGTTCCTTCACTTTGGTAGTTTGCCTACGCTTGTAGCCTCATCTGCTGAAGTAGCTCGAGAGATCATGAAAACCCATGATTTATCGTTCTCTAGTCGACCAAGTTTAACTATCCCCAACATAGTATTGTATGGTGGTAATGACATAGCGTTTTCGCCTTATGGGGAATACTGGAGACAGTTGAAAAGCATCGTAGTGCTTCATCTTCTAAGTAATTCGCGAGTCAAGTCATTCCGACAAGTGAGAGAAGAAGAGATGGCTCATATGATTAGCATACTTGTAGAAAGTTGTGGTTCTTTGGTTAATTTGAGTGAATCGATCATTTCACTTACAAATAACGTAATTTGTAGAGCGGCCCTAGGAAGGACATATCGTGGATCAAAGTTCACAGAGTTATTGAGAAAGCTCATGGATTTGTTGGGTGTTATTAGCGTTGGAAATTATATTTCATGGTTGTCGTGGGTGGATCGACTAATTGGTGTAGAGGGAAAAGCAAAAAAAACTGCTAAAGAATTTGATGAGTTTCTTAAGGGTGTTCTTGAAGAACATATAAATAAGGAAAAAATGGTGGATGGTAAAAGTGATGAAAGCAAAGATTTAGTTGACATCTTACTGGAAATCCAAAGAGAAAAGACAACAGGCTTTACCCTTCAAAGAGATAACCTTAAAGCTGTCATATTGGTATGATTTCTTCATCTTCCTCCTCATATTAGAGAGTTATGTTTAAACCTAACAAACATACTCATACAGGGTCAGGTTCAAGCGATTCAAACAAGAAAGCAATCAATTTGCAAAAAGGCGAGAAGTTTCATGATCATATATGATTACACGTGATATACACATTTAATCATATATATGATTAAACACATGTTGCGTAGACCGATAGAGGGTGGTCTTCCCCCGCAACCTTTGTTCGCATTCACCAACTTGTTTGTGTCCCATTTTGGACGTGTTTAATCATATATGATTAAGCATTCGTATCAAGTGTAATAATATATGATCTTGGAACTTTTCAACTTATCGCAAATTGATCAACTTCTCGTTTGATCCTCTCCTCTACTCATATATTTACATAATTAGGGATGTCGAAGGATCAAGCACCAAAAAGGATTTGCTTAATACTTCATATACACTTTTAAATATCATTTCATTGGTTTCGGAAGTCTTTAGTTTCACATTTGAAGCATTAAGTTGCTAGCTTGCATGGTACTGAAGCTTTCACTTTGAAGGTGCTTCGATTTGCTTCAAAAAACACTTATAATCTAGAAAATACTAGTTGCTTGATTGTATGTCAAGATCAATCTATCATTGCTTGCTCTGTAGGATGTATTCGGTGGTGGAGTCGATACTACATCCACAACTATAGAGTGGGCAATCAGTGAGCTAGTAAAACACCCAAGAGTAATGAAAAAGCTGCAGCAAGAAGTGACAGAAATAGCACAAGGAAGATCAATGATTCCTGAGGAAGACCTGGAGAAGATGGAGTATCTTAAAGCCGTCATAAAAGAGACCTTAAGGTTACATGTTCCAGTACCACTTCTTGTTCCTCGAGAATCAACACAAGATGTCAAACTTATGGGGTACGACATTCCAGCCGGCACACAAGTGATTATCAATGCTTGGGCAATAGGAAGAGATTCTACCTCATGGGAAGAAGCAATTGAGTTTAGGCCAGAGAGGTTTCTAAAGAATTCCATCGATTATAAAGGGTTTCATTATGAGTGGCTTCCATTTGGTGCAGGTCGAAGAGGGTGCCCTGGTATTCAATTTGGTGTGGTTATCGTCGAGCTTGCATTAGCAAATATCGTATACAAGTTTGATTTGGCGTTGCCAAATGGAGCCAAAAATGAGGATTTGGACATGAGCGAGACATATGGCATTGTACTCCATAGGAAGTCCTCTTTATTGGTCAACTTACATGCTCGGTGAAGTCCTTGAGTTTGGGTTTCTTGTTGCAATTATAATGTGATTTTTGTCATTGTCATTACTTTCTCCTTTTCAGTTGTCATCTTAAAAACTATTTATAAGTTCATGTTAATTCAAAAAGTGTGGTATTTTTCGAGTACGTACATATCCTCTAAATTCGAGTTTTGACACAATGTTTATATTTGTTGCTCATAGTAAATAAACTTTGATGATATTAAACTTATAATGTGTGCATAAGTTGAAGATTCAAACGAAAAGAGTACAATACTACCATTTTACGAGAATACTTAAAATGGATAACCATCACATGTAATTGTGTTATACTGTATAGGGAGGAAATGGTGTGTGGGCGATTTTGTTTGCAACCTAAGTTGTGACCATGGTCGCATGTGTCTATCATGTGTGTATCACATGTAATATTTGATTATTTTAGGTTCTCATATTCTCGTAAAACATTATCGTCTTTGTTTGAATCTTTCCTATGTAGATAAACACAGTAAATGGAAGATATATGGTCTTATTTCTGTCTCATGAAAATAATGAATTTACTTTGTATATATTTATAATATTTTCTAGTAAAGTATTAAATTATTTAAATGTAATTTAAAATACAAAATAAATAAATTGCTAAACTTAATATAAGATATTAGTAAATACATTAAATATCAGAGACTTAATCATTTAAAAACTCTCATTTTGTAAAATCTGTGAGATTTAGTATATATATATAGACCACATAAATTAATTAATTTCCTTTAAGTATCTATTTAATTGAATAAGAGTTGTTTAATAATTTTTGATGTAGAGGCATTATTTTTGGATTTGTATTGCATCAATTATATACATACACGCATATACATACATATATATGTATATTATATATATATATATATATATATATATATATATGTATGTATATGCATCTATATACAAAGCATACATATTCAAAGTGACTCGATCATGCATCCTTAAATCATCCAATATATATTATGACTACTTATGTAATATGCCCTACACTACAATGGATCAGTCATGAATATCTCATTCCTAGGCCTTCGATGTCGTCTTTCTTATGCCCATTTTTTCTTCTGCTCAAGGCCACAACCACGTTTCAGTTTTTGTTCGAACAACACATCGGTTCCCCTTTCAAGACCATAAACATGCATGGCCTGGCAACATGATCAGTCATGTACATGGCTGTTTCGACTGCTATCAACCCCACATGATTGTGTTCCAGTAGCGTACGACCCCCNCATCTAAAGCTCAGAAGTGTTCTTACCATTCTCTCTCTCTCTCTCTCTCTCTCTCTCTCTCTCTCTCTCTCGTGTGTGTGTGTATATATATATATATATAATATCTTTTATAATTAAAAAAAAATGAAAATAAGGTAAATGATCATTATACCCTCATGTGCAACTTGCATGAGGGGGTTTAATGGGAGAATGTTTAATGGGGTTAGACTAGGGTTAGACTCAGGAACCAAAACCAAAAGAGAAACAACAAGCCATAGGGACCAAATTTGCAATTTACTCTTGAATTTATATTATAGTTCAAGTCATTTCGTCGACTACAAATAGATTTGAGATTCCATAGAAGTTCTTTAGCTTGCAACGTCATGGCGATTTTTCCATTGTTACAAGTATTTCTTCTTTCTTTGTTACCATTCTTGATCATTTTGATGCTTTCTATTCGGTTAAAAAGGATTTCATTCTATTCAAGGAATAAGACCTGCAACTTACCTCCATCTCCACCAAAGCTTCCAATCGTTGGAAACTTGCACCAACTAGGATCGAGCCCCCATCGATCTCTCCAAGCCTTGTCCCAGAAATATGGTCCACTCATGCTCCTTCAACTTGGCAACGTAGCCACACTTGTAGCCTCCTCGGCAGAAGCAGCCCAAGAAATCATGAAAACCCATGATTTATTATTCTCTAATCGACCAAATTTAACTATCCCGAGCATATTACTATATGGCTGTAACGACATGGCATTTGCTCGTTATGGGGAATACTGGAGGCAGTTGAAGGCAATCGTAGTAATCCATCTTCTAAGTAATACAAGGGTCAAATCATTCCGAAAAGTGAGAGAAGAAGAGATGGTTCTTACGATTAGCGTACTTGGAGAAAGTCGTGGTTCTTTGGTTGATCTGAGTGCATCGCTTGTTTCGCTTGCCAAGAACGTTATTTGTAGAGTGGCCCTTGGAAGGAAACATGATCATGGATCAAAGTTCACAGAGTTATTTAGAAATCTCACTGAGGTAATTGGTGTTTTTAGTGTTGGGAATTATATTTCATGGTTGTCGTGGGTGGATCGACTAAGTGGTTTGGAGGGAAAAGCAAGAAAAATTGCTAAAGAATTCGATGAGTTTCTTGAAGGTGTTCTTGAAGAACATGAAAATAAGGGAAAAAGGGCAGATGCAAAAAGTGATGAAGGCAAAGACTTGGTTGACATCTTGCTGGATGTGCAAAGAGATAACACAACAGGCTTTACCCTTCAAAGAGATAACCTTAAAGGTGTAATCTTGGTATGATTTCTAAATGTCATGCAATACTTATAATTATGCTTTTAAATTTGAAGGTGCTTAGCTTGCATTCAAAAAGCACTTAATAATCTTGAAACTACTAGTTGTTTTCTTGTATAGCAAGTCATATATATGCATGTGAAAAACAAATGAACCGTTGCTTCTTTGTAGGATGTATTCGGCGGTGCAATTGATAACATATTCGTAACTTTAGAATGGGCAATCAGCGAGCTATAAGACACCCAACAGCAATGAGAAAGTTGCAGCAAGAAGTAACAGAATTAGCACAAGGAAGATCAATGATTTCTGAGGAGGATTTGGAGAAAATGGATTACCTTAGAGCTGTAATAAAAGAGACCTTACGTTTACATGTCCCACTACCACTTCTTCTTCCACGAGAATCAACACAAGATGTCAAACTAATGGGGTATGATATTCCAGCAGGCACACAAGTGATCATCAATGCTTGGGCAATAGGAAGAGATTCTACCTCATGGGAAGAATCAATGAAGTTTATGCCAGAGAGGTTTTTAAACGATTCCATCGACTATAAAGGGCTTCGTTTTGAGTGGCTTCCGTTTGGTGCCGGCCGACGAGGATGCCCTGGTATTCAATTTGGTATAGTTGTTATTGAGCTTGCATTAGCAAATATCGTATACAAGTTTGATTTGGAATTGCCAAATGGAGCCAGATATGAGGACTTGGACATGAGTGAGACAAATGGCCTTACAGTCTATAGGAAGTCCTCTTTACTGGTCAAGTTAAGTGCTCGGTAAAGTGAAACTGAGTCCAGGCTTCTACTACGATTCACCCACGTTTTACTTTCAATTTGAACAAATGTTTTCCAAGCCCGAAAAGCTGGTTTCTTTGTTGCAAATTTCTTTTCTTTTCTTCTCTTCTCTTCTCTTGTCATTGTAATAAACAATACCGTGGTTTATATATCTCGAAGTGTTTTCAAATAAATAAATAGTTGTTGTTGTTTTTTCTTTATTTGTTTATGTTTATTAATGTTTGTTCGCTTATATTCGTTTAACATCTTAGCAAACGAACATAAACAAACAATTTTTCTTAACGAGTAAACATGTTGCGTTCCATTACCGTTTGTGCATCCGTTCTTGTTCGTTCGCTTCATTTACAACCCTACATATATGAATAAATAGAGTAATAGGTCATCAGCATCGTTAGATTCTTCTGTGTTTGAACAAGAACTCGGATTCTTGTATATTGTTTTTTAAACATTTTATTTTCTTTTAACTAAATCTGTAAAACATATAACATAAAAATGATACAAAAAAATATAAATTGATTATTATAAATTTATATTTTTAAATTTTTTTTTTTTTTTTTGCTTTTTGTTTCTTATGAAATTTTATACAAGTTTTTGTATTAATAAGTTTAAATTTTAATTATTTCATTATACTATTACTTTTAGATTATTTTCATATACTTTTATATATATATATATATATATATATCACTATATGAGTCATTCTTCACACATCTTCTTCAAATAAAATAGAAAAAGACATTGGGAATCGAGTTAAAAGGTTCTCAAATGTGAATAAGAAATGAAATTCAACACAAATATTTCAAGGTTTCATCCATGAATTTCAAGAATATCTTCAACCAAAATTCATTATCGACTCCTCTTCGACTAGGTTGATCATATTTAGTCAAATTGAAATTACAAGTAATCTATATTACTAGTTATTCTTTAGTGTTACATTTTATAAAGATTTATATTTGTGTAATTTTGCACTTTTTTTAATTGTAGTGTAAATTATGTTTATGTTTTAATTGTTTTTGTGTTAACAAAATATTAAATTAAGAAATTAAAATTAATATGGAAAAAGTTAGTTAATAAGTTATAAATTAAAATTAATGTAGATTATTAGGCGTTGGCTTAGCCCATTGTCTTAATTGCCTAAACAATGTGCCAAACCCTATTCCATTATTTCCTTCTTTTTCTTATTTTATAAGATGTTGATCGGTTCACATATGATTTGGAGATCGATGGAGCAAATCAGATACTACTATGCTAATTTCTCCGCTACATAGAGAGAGATAGATAAACTTAGGATCATGTAAGACCAGTCTGTTTTCATGAAACCCGTGAGACCACATTTTTATACTCGAAACTTCACGGTAAAAAACTGTGAAGGTAAACTTTAGAGTGTTTTCATAAGTTCCATCAGTTTTGATTTAATTTTCTTGTCTGCAAGTTTCATTTGAGACACTAACAATATAACCTTCAAAAACCATAATATACATACAGCGGATGGAAATGATCGTATCGCAAGATAAAATATACGATAAGCGTGATAAACCCGATGGCATAATGCATGATAATCATCGGGTTGGAAGAAAGGGGTGAAGAGATGTAGAGGAAGACACGAACCGCAAGCATTCGGATCCTCAAGTACTCAAACATATGGAGTTGCTACCACAAGTAAAGGCAATTTCTTATGAATTGTGATCCCAGTAGTCTCACTCATGTCCAAATCCTCCCATTTTTGTGCATCAGGTAACTCGAAATCAAACCTATGCACCAAGCTAGCTAACACAAGCTCATTAACATTCATTGCAAACTGGATTCCAGGGCATTTCCTTCGGCCAGCGCCAAATGGCGTCAACTCGAAATGAAACCCTTTGTAATCAATGGGACTATCCAAGAACCTCTCTGGACGGAACTGTTCAGGTTCGTCCCATGAACATGGGTCTCGCCCAACAGCCCACGCGTTAATCAAAACTTGTGTTCCTGCTGCAATGTCGTAGCCCATTACTTTAACATCTTTGGTCGATTCACGAGGAACGAGCAGTGGGAGTGGTGTGTGCATTCGGAAAGTTTCTTTCACAACGGCCTTTAAATACAGCATTTGATCCAAGTCGTCTTCAGTGATCTTCGGCTTGCCTTTGGCTACTTCCCGTACCTCTTCTTGTAGCTTTTTCATGGCATGAGGGTTTCGTAGTAACTCACTGAGTTCCCACTCGAGAGTTGAGTAAGTTGTATCGGTTCCACCCGTGAACACATCCTACATGCAAAACAATACTATCAGCAATTTAGTTTCTCACTACAACAAGATGTAGACGTAATTTCAGAACTTTTATTTTGGTACCTAAAATGTAAAGTTTTAAGCATTTAAGTAATCGGATAACCGGTTGAAGCATTAACCGGTTACAACACTAATGGGGCCACTGTTGAATTTCTGTTTTAACAAAGACAAATTCAAAGAAATGAGATGAAAAGACTAGAAACCCTAGTTTACCAAGATAAGAGCTTTGACGGTATCTCTATCAAGAACAAAACTGGCGTCCTTCTGGTTCTGGATATCCAGTAAAATGTCCACAAAATCTTTCTCGTCGTCGTTGCTGCAATCACCAGATGTTCGTTTTTTCCGTTCAACGTGTTCTTCGATCACACCTTCAAGAAACGCATCGAATTCTGCAGCAACTTTCACTGCTCTAACATCATATCCATTCAAACGATCCACCCATGACAGCCACGGGATGTAATCTCCTACACTGAAAACACCCAGTAACTCCACAAAGTGGACAAATAACTCTTTGAAATTCTCGCCGCCGTGCTTCCGCCCCAACGCCGATCTACAAATCACGCCATTTGTCAGTGAAATCAATAACTCACTCATATTAACCACCGGAGAAGATGAACAGCCGATCTCTATGATTCTTTCGACTAGCAGATCAGTCTCTTCTTCTCTCATTCGACGAAACGATTGAACTCTTTTCTGGCTCAGAAGCTGTAGCACAGCAATGCTTTTAATCTGTCTCCAATACTCTCCATAATCTGCAAACGCAATGTCCCTTGCATTGTAAGAAAGTATACTCGGGACACTCGATTTTGCGCGATTGGCGAAGATTAAATCATGGGTTTTCATGATTTCTCGAGATGCATCAGCAGAAGAGGCTACAACCACGGGCACACGTCCGAAATGAAGCAGCATGAGAGGGCCATGTTTCTTGGATAAAGCTTGGAGAGAACGATGAGGGCTTGAACCTAGTTGGTGGAGGTTTCCGATGATGGGAAGCTTCCCCGGAGAAGGTGGTAGGTTCTTAAGTGTCTTTGAAGGAGAAAATAACCATTTTGAGAAAATGGCAACCACCAAAATGAACAAGGGAAGAAGAAAGGAATACAAGAGGTGATACAAGGAGACCATAATGACTGTTAATTAGATTTGATTCAGGATGTGGTATGAAGGTGGACAGAAGATGTATATATAAGCCTAGCTATTACAATAGAGAAATATATGGATACTGTTTGTGGAAAATCGGTTTATTTCTATGGGTCACTTTACTCCATTCTATTTCAATAGTGTTTTTGTTGCGAAGGTTCGGGTTTTTTTACCTTGTGAACGTTTTGCTATGAAGTTTCAAGTGTAAAAAAGATGGTCTCATAAAAACAGGTTGGTATCACGTGAACTCAACCCTATTATTGAAAAAGGGATCCGGAAGAATAATGAATTAAAGCATATATATATATATATATATATATATATATATATATTAAGTGTTCAGAATGAAGTTGACTTAACCATCTATAAATTACTATTCCTTAGGTTCAAAACACTTGCATCACCTTGGGTAGTCATTATCCCTTAATTATACCTTTTTCTGCGCCTATGTATTAACTATAAATTTCACCTGGTCAAGTGTATACGTTAATGTGTCCATAAAACAATGTGTTACATCATCTCCATCTATATAACACAAATATACAATTAGGGTTTATGCAGGTTGTATTTGACGGTTTCAGACAATTAAACAACTCGATTCGATTACAACGGTTTGGAAAAGTTCCAACACAACTCAACGTGTTATAGAGTGCGGGTTGGATTGGGTTAACAAGTTGTCATTATTCTTTCGAATAAGTATATGTCTTTGGTTTTTGGTAACTTAGGAGTATTAATTGTTTATCGCTCGATAAAATCATATATAGAGATGGCAATGGGTCATGTTGGGTTGGGTTTGGTTCAACCCGTTTATCAATTTCAACCCAACGCATCCATTTAATTAAAAGAGTTGAGATTTTTCACCCCAACCCAACTTGTTACGTAAATGGGTTAAGATGACAGCAGGTTGACTTGTTTACGATTTTCTTAACTCAACATGTTAAATAAATGGGTTGAATTTGGGTTTGACCCATTTAATTTTAAATAGAAAAAAGGACTACATTATTTAATTTTTTTGAATAAAACACAACACAACCACAAATACGAACAAATTGTTCAAAGTTTGAATAATACACAACCACAACAAATATATTGTTCAAAATAAATTGGAAAATTTTAAATTTTAAGTAACTCGACTTCCACTTTCACCAACCCCAAGTTCACTCTCAGACGCCTGGACAGAGAGAAAACCTAGAGAGAGACAATTAGACAAATGTTGGACGGAGAGAGAGCCGAGAGGAAGAAAAAACGTAGCACGGAGAGAGAGCCGAGATCGAAATATTGAGAGGGCGAGAGGCGGACAACATACTTGAAGAGTTGGATTGGCCTTTAGAAGCGATAATAGAGTAATGGACTAAAAGGTTTTCTTAGAGTTTCATGATGATTAAAAGTAACGGAGGCGATTGAAATTTGGACTTTCATCTCACGATGGTAGGATTTTTAATTAAGAAAAATTGAACAAAATTAAAAATTAGAATACTATATATAATATTAAGAAGAAATTAAAATTATATAATATTTTAAATGGGTTGTAAACAGGTTGTAAATTGGTTGAAAACAGGTCGAAAAATTCAACTCAACCTAACTCATTTATCTAAATGGGTTAGACGGATTGACCCACTTATTTAAATGGATTGAAAATATCAACTCAACCTACTAATTATGAATTGAATTAGGGTTGAATTAACGAGTTAGGTCATTTTTTACCACCCCTAATCATATACATATAATAAATAGATAATATTAAATTATTATACACATTACATACAATAAACAAGCAATAACATATAAATGAATATATTGATGTCTTCACCGACCAACAGATATAGAAAATGTCTACACACCATCGCTACACATGTCTCTTGTATTCATCTAAAAATACTATAAATAAGATCGAGTTTATAGGACATCAAAAAAAATTTAAACGTCTTAATAGACCATTTTATAGGACTTAATTTATAGAATCGAAAAATAAAATGTCATATCTAACGGCGTTGTATAAATTAATAGAGCGTTTTTGGACGTCTTAACAAGTTTTTTAGGATACTTTTTAATACAAAGCATTGTATTAAAAAATTTATAGGACACTGTTTGAAAAAGTATCCAGTAAAAAGACGAGTTTAAGAAAATGTCCTATAAAATTGTCAATGCGACGCTTTGTGTCCTAAAAACTTATTAAGATGTTCAAAAGCGTCTTATCAACTTATTACAACGTTTTTAGATATGATGTTTTATATTTTGGTCATATAAATTAAATCCGATAAAACGGTCGATTAAGACACTTAGAAATAGGTGGCGTACTATAAACTCAATTTTGTTGTAGACCCAAGAGATATATTGCTTAGTTCACACATTTTTATACGTAACTTAATCCAATTTTTTATAACTATTAAAATTACAAGAGATAGTAATAACATATAAAAGAAGAACGAGAATTACAATAATATAAAAATATATATATAAATATAAACAAAATTTTATCAAAATTATATGTCAGCAACGGGTGACGAGTTGACATGTTGGGTTTGATCGAGTAAGGTCTAACCCAATTTCACCCTATTAATTGACGATTTGATGAGTTAACAATTTAACAGGTTATGTTTAATTAAATTGTTTACACGAATCGTACAAGTTGATGATTTTCTATACATAACCTCTTATTAACGTGTGTCATCACCTCATAGTCATGAAGACAATTATCTTTTTCACTACAACAAAATCAGGTTTATAGGACGCCCTCAATCTCTAAGCGTCCCAATAAACCACTTTATAGGACCAAAATATAAATTGTCCTATCTAAAGACGTTGTAATAAGTTTATATGACGTTTTTGGACGTCTTAACAAGTTTTTTAAGACATTTTGAATACAAAATTTCACATTAAGCAACTTTATCAAAAGTGTCCTATAAACTCAATTTTTTATAAGACACTTGTTTTTATATGACGGTTTTTTAAATAGTGTCCTATAATATGAGACGTTTAATATTAAAAGTGTCCTAAAAGAACTTATTACGACGTCAAAAAACATCATATAAACTTATTACAACGCCTTAAGATATGACACTTTATTTTTTTGTTTTATAAAGAGGTCTATTGGGACATTTAAAAATTGAAAGCATCATATACCCGATTTTGTTATAGTATTTAAAAGCATGTCATTTACATCGCTTAGAATTTGATAAACGACAAATACATCAATGGACAAGATTCGTGTATGTGAAGTCAAAGTATGTTAGATAGATGCTTCGTATATAAATTAAAACCTCATAACTTTTAAATAATATAACTATTATTTCGTTATTAAGACATTTAGAAAATAAAATTAACTTATATGAATTACAAATATATGATAATTTATCTGATTCATCATGTATTTTTTTTGGTCGTTGCTTAAAGAACTTGATACAGATATGGTAGTCAGGTGTTAAGTTTATACAGATATGTTATTTCCGGTACATATGCATTTTCATGTTTTCTTTATTTGTTTTTTGATTTTCTTGTTTCTGTGTGTCTTTCGGTTTTCAATCCTATGGTTTGCAATTAATTTCTATTTTCGTCCATGAGTCCAAAACACTACTTTTTAAGTATGAAGAACTAGAATAGAAATGAATTGTAAACTATAAAAGACAATAAATTTAAAAGCGTAAGGATGAAAAAGGTAATAAATTATAAACCATAGGGATGAAAACCGAAATTTTAAAATTACAAGGACGAAAATAAAAAATTTCAACAAACCATTAAAAACGTAATCTACTCAACTATTTATTTTCACTGTATATACATCATATAGAGGCCATAAGTTTTCACTCGTAAGTCAGATCAAAATGATTCATTTTTAGGTTGTTTTTTTAGATCTACATATCAACAAAATTTGGAGATTTGTCATAAAATTTGGAGATTTGTCATTAATATATATATATATATATATATATATATATATATAAATCCAATGTATGTTAAATATTTCAAATTATCCATAAATAAATTATATTTTAAATTGAAATAAAATTTTAAAGAAAAAATAATTCTTTAAACAAATGAGATTTTTAATCACTTAATTAACAAGGTACAGCGACAAGATGTGGTTATTGGTTTATAATATGGTTGTCAACGAGATTAGGAGAATAATTAATTATTAACTCGCTCAATGATTAGTCATGGGAAGATAATTAATTAAGTAAAATACACATTATTTTAATTAAAACTTCTATTATTGTGTTACATATGTAAGTTCTTTGACTTTATTGTAATCTATATTTGGTAAATTATCTGATAAAGATATTAATAACTGATAAGGTAACTGATAGTTGATAAGTTAGCTAAGAAATGAATCACATAAAAAAAACTAGCTAATAAGCTAGATGAAAATATAAAATGATCAAAAAAGAAATCTTGAATAATTAGTGAAGTACAACATTTCATTATATAATTAAAGCAAATCTTTAATAATATAATATGTTAATTAAAACAAACAATATATATATATATATATATATATATATATATGAGCGATCAAATGAAAATCACCCTCATACGTCGATTTCATTGTTTAATCTTATGAAAAAAATTCATGAAATTGTTTAATTTTGTGAAATTGTTTCATATAATACTTTTTTTGATAAATTTGTTTCATATATGGTTATGAAATTGTTTCATATAATATTTAATGAAATTTTAATTAAAATGTTTCATGTATTTCTTTAAAATTAAAATAATAAAGATGATAATATCCATGATTAACACCCTCCACAATAAAAATGGTTAATCAACCTCTCATAAATAACTATTATATCAACTAATAATTAATTTAAATATATTTTATTAAAACGATTGAGTAATACTATAAAAATAACAAAATAAAATAATTAATATGGTTAATAATAAATCTAAATAATTAATATTAATGTGTAATGTCAAATTGAAATTTATTAATAAGTTTCAGTTAATATCAATTACTATTAATTCGGGTGTAATTGAAAAACATGTAAAACCTTTTAAAATGTTATTTTTTAGGCATTGTTTAGCAAACATAAGCTAGCTTATAAGCTGATTTATTTTTTTAGTACATGTTTTGAGACTTTTTATCATTTTTTTGAATTATAATTCTGAAATATTAATTATTATTTATTATTAATAAATATTAGTA